AAAATTTCCGGGGATTCTTTTCTGTGTGCTCGAGTGTTTGTGTTGTTTTTTTTTGTTTTTTTCTTCGTTATACTTTACCATTTTGGTCAAAAAAACTTTGTATCAATATTTTGTGTAACATAACAAAGAACAGTTTTTGAAAAACCACATTTATATAAGTAAAATATGAAGAAAAAATCCCCAAAAGTAGATATTACGTAATATCGCGAAATTGAGCCAATGCGCGTAATTACTAGGTGCATATGACCACACAATGCGAATACCGGGGGCAGAAAATGTAAGCTCTTCTTCGTTATGTTACACAAAATATTATTTTAAAAAAATCCTGGCCAAAAAGCTAAAGTAGAACGAAAAAACAACAAAAATACTCGGGTGCGCTATAGCGCACTTGAGTGCGCTAAAGTCATCTCTGAATCCAGGCTAACGTCCGGTATCCCGGTCCCATTTATCTGCACTTGAAAAATTAAAGCACGCGACGAACCGTGTAATCAAAAACGATTACGACAAAACAAATTGGTTTGATGACAGATTAATGGCATTTATTAGAATGAGTATTTGTAGCAACAAGTCTAGTAACAAAATGACTTTTGGAAGAGAACAACGTAGCAAAATGTATCTTAAACACAAATTTCACCCATTTGCATCACAGGTAAGATTGATTTACAAGGACTGTGGAAATTCAAAGGAACTTTTTTTTATTTCCAATGGCTTTAATAAAAATTTCAACACATAATTTAGTTCATTGCAGTAACTGTTCCAAGTTTACTTTTGTTTGACATGGGACTATGTCATTCGATAACATTCGTGATCATAGCCGCTCTCACCGGATTTTCCAATGATCACAATCCCAATGAAATCATATCATTAACACCATCTGAAGCTTCATGGTTAGGTAATGCTACAAATGAACACCAAAAATTGCATACTTCTCTCTTTTCTTGACATGAATTAATGAAAAATGTGCTTTTGTCAGCGAGTATGAGTCTTGTCTTTCAACCAATTGGAAGCATGTTGTCGGCGCTAGTTTCAGATGCGCTCGGACGTAAGGTAGCGATGTCGATCGTCAATATTCCAATTGCAATCGGATGGCTCATGATGCTATACGAATCCAAATCTCCTGCTAACATATTCGCTGCAAATATGCTACTCGAATTCGGATGTGCTCTGATGGAATCGCCTACGGTACTTGTTTTTCTAGTGTTTTTTTTTTCTCATTTTTTCAAAGAAATTTTTGTCATTTATTATGCTAATGTTCCGGAGGTAATTGTCCCACTGGTTCTAGGTGACATACGTCGGTGAAATCAGGTAGTTTTTTTTACAAGATTTTCAACTAAATGATTCACTTGGAGATATTGATTGAAGAGACTTCTTTTAGTGAGCCAAAATTCCGTGGATTCATGGCGGCCTACTCCCAAATCGGATACACATGTGGATTAATAGCGGTTGCTATTTTGAACATTTTAATGCCATGGCGATGTGTCTGTTTCATCTGCTTGTGTGTACCGATTTTAACAGCCGTTTTCCTTTTCTTCGTAAGTATTACGAATGAATTTCCATCAAATTTGATTCTTTTTCGATGAAACGAGAGATTGGAAGGTTATAAATTAGAAGTCACACCAATCGATGGAATGAAAATGTGGATTTGGAATGAGTGAAAATTAACAAAATTAACAGAATTTTTTTTTTGAAATGAAACGAAAAGAAAATTCAAAAGAGTGAAAGGAAAAAGTGACAAAAGTTTGAACAAAAGTTCCAAGTTCCGTCAAAGCTCAAAAATCTTTTCATCAACCAATATCTCTTTTCCTGTAATTCTACTGGCCACAGGTTCCTGAATCGCCTCTGTGGCTTTTATCAAAAAATCGATCTCATGAAGCGAAAGAATCGCTCTGCTGGCTACGAGGATGGGTTCCAAAAAAAGTTGTCACCGAGGAGTTTCTATCTCTTCAGCGCTACAGTGCGCTTTCTAAATCATGTGAAAATTGTGTCCAAAATGGACTCAAGTGTGTTCATCCTCTGCCAAATTTACGTGAAAAGTTAAAAGAATTGAAAAAAAGGAAAAATCTCAAGCCATTCACCATTGTGGTGTCACTTCTTTCCATTACATTTTTCTCCACAACATTCGCAGGTACGAACTATACGTTTTTCGTGTGGTCTATATTTACAGACCTATGTAGATAAAATAATAGAGATTCGTTTTACAGTGTCAACGTATATCGTGCAAATATTCGAAGCGTACAATGTTCCGATGAAATCTGATATCGCGACGGTGATTTCGAATTGCGTGAAACTTTTGGCAAACATTTCGTACATGTTTCTGATTCGATTTGTAGGCAAACGACATCTGTATTTAACAATGATGACCGTGCTATGTCTGAGCACGGCTACAATTTCCAGCTATGGATTTATTATTCTACCGATCGGTTACAGTTCATATCCAGATATATCACCTAACTTCCCACTCGACAACAAGAATCTCGGTTATATCCCGTTTATTTGCATAATTTCAGTGACATTTTGCATGTTTTGCGGACTTCGATCGGTTCTGTGGCAATTGACATGCGAGGTGTTTGCGGACCGAACTCGCGTCATAGTCACTGCTTTAACAATAACTTTGAGCTACTTGATTGTTTTTGTCATCACATCCACATATCGGATCTTCGAAACGACATTGTCAATGCCCGGTGTTGCCCTATTCAATTGCATTGTCAGCGGTTTCGGTGTGTTTGTTGCATACAAAATTTTGCCAGACACAGAAAATCGCACGTTAGAAGACATTGAGATGCATTTTTCGGACAATTCCAAGTCAATCACCGATCGTAAAATTTTACAAATTTCCAAAAACAATCAAATACAAAGTGAAGCTAAAACAGTTTCAATGAACAACGACAACACATTTGGCAAAATCGAGAAAGAATTGACATGATGATTTATTTGTTTATGATCTTTTTTTATTGTCGTTTTCTTTATTTTTTATAAAAGAACATTTCTTTTAAGGCAATTTTAAATTAAAAAAAAAAGAGAAAAAAAACAGTTTTAGTTGCTATACCCATCGTCCATCAGGAATGAGAAGCCATTTGTTCTCTGTTTTTAAACAAATTTCACCGAAGAGCAACTGAGATTTTTGCAAAATATTGTCGGTGTCGAAGATCAAAGAACATTTAAACTGACACAGCTAAATTGTTTGCTTTGTGTGCCCGCTCTCTCTTTCTCACTAACTGTTATACTTACGTATACGTTGTTAGAGAGAAAAAGACGTTATTCGCAGTGGACTCATTTCAAATGTTCTTTTATCCTTCTCACACTAACTGCCGTCATGCTTATAGTTCACGTTCTAGTTGTCATTAATGCGAGTGAATAACGTTATATATCACCGCCAAAATCTCTATCGTACTTTAACCGAATGATTCATTTAAAGCCAATTGCAAAAAAATAATTGAGAAAGGTCAAGTTCGGGAACATGAACTTCGATCCGAATGTTAGACGAAGAGAAAAGTTAGATTTTACCCAATTAAAAGGTCTTTGCGAATGTTGCGAGAACAAAATCAGGCATAAAAATTTCATTTACAAGGGATTTTGATTTCGCAGTCTAGCTCATCAACAAACTAAAATGTTTTATTGTAATTCGTAATTCATAAGCAGTTGTTGGTAAAATGTTTACTTTGTTTGATAAAGTGTATAAATAAAACGTGTTCAAATATGAATGAAAAGCAGAATTTTTTTTGTCGTAGAAAAAGGTCAAACAAAATATTTACATGGTTTCGTGATTTATAGCAATAAACTTCACAGCACATTTAAATATCAAATATCATTTCGTTCCTTCACTCGCATACAAAATCAGCATGCTGAATGTAAAGCATTATGACGTGAGCAAGTTGCTTCCATACGATGTGTGTAACGGCATTGCACTGCAATGCACACTGTGCATGGGCGATTTCAGCCGAAATATTTCTAAATTCAAATGCTGATGCGTTTAGTTTTGTTCGTAGTCGCAAACTGCCGATAGCTGTATTCAGTGAATACTATTCACTAAATCGTTCGATGACAATTATGTCGGCAGTTCCAGTTCAACGCCGCTGTTTTTTACACACTCAAAACAATTGAAGAGCAGACTTAATGACGCCAGCGAATAACACACGTACAATGTGTGGACAAGTGAACACTTATTTTTGACTCACTTCCACAGTCGAATGTTTTTTTTGGCTCTTATTCACACGTCAGTGTTTATAATCAAAATTCGTGCAGTTACTGGCTTTAGATAAGCATCGATTGTTTCGAATTTCGCAGTGGAGAGTCTCTCATTATTGAAAAGAGTATGATTTGCCGAGTCATTTCAATTGAATGTGAACTAAAATAATTTTCAAGAGTCTTTCCTTCGATTGGTGTTTTAAATGATTTTTGAAATTTTGATTGGTGTTCTGAAACGAAGCAAAAGACAATCATATCGTTGTCTGAGCACTTGAACAATGGGTAATCAAGTGTAATATTTGTTTCGCGTATGATTGAAATCAAAAAATGTTTAAATTGAAAGGCACTTGAAATCGCCATGAAGCCAAAAATTAATCGGAAAATTTAGATGGCGTTAATTGACGTGAAAATAACAATAACTGTCGCAATTGTTCAATTAGCAGCTATTTTCTAACCATTGAAAGCAGTATGAAATATCAGAAGCACTAAAACATTATCAAAGTGCAGGCTTTTATACCTGTAATCATTGAAGTAATTAGCATTCATTACGCATGATTGTTACATTTTTCGAACACACACGCATCAAAGCGAACAAGCCTCATTCAACAAAAACATCTACTTAAAGCAACAAAGTAATAACAATCGTGTTCGTGTCTGATGACAAAAAGACGATACGCCATACCTGCATCGATAAAGCGACAAGCATGTTGATTAAACAGACACAAAACATCAACTACATTCATAAAACACAAACACTGATGCTCATTTATTCGGATTGCGAACAAATAACCTAGTGCCTCACATTGGTGGTTGGATCAGCGACACGTATTTGGCATTACAACAGCACGCTGTTTTGCAATTGACTTTTGCTTGGGTGTCACACTTGAAAAGTCACAACGAAAAGAATGTCAGTCGATGAAAAAACAAGTAAAAATGATGGAAGAATCAAGGAAATCAGCACATTTCGGCGGTTTTTATCACAGGTGTGGACTTATTTTAAAACTATTTTTCTGAATTTTTTTTCGTAGATCGAAATTTCATAGCAGACATAGGCATAGATTCTGTTTTTGTGTTAATTTTACCGAGATGCTTTGTGATATTTTCGGTGTTTGTGTTATTTATTGCATTTCGATCCATCGCATTGGTTCTTTGTGCTTATTTCATTAATTTTGTGATTTTTCTGTGGATTTTTGCGCTAATTTTTTTTTATTATTTTGTTAAAATTTTAATTTTGGTGACTTTAAATCATGCATTTTATGATCAAATTTTGAATGTGTCTTTATCTTCTTACTCAAAAATATATGATTTGGCTCTATTTTTTTGGCGCTGATGATGCATAGCTGGTGGCGACAACCGTCAAAAATATGCTACTCTTTGATATGGGCATGAGTGGGATATTTCCATCGATTATTATTCCGGCTCTAACGGGAAATACCAACGAACACAATCACAACGAAACACTTTCGCTTACATCAACTCAAGCTTCATGGTTAGGTAATGGCTCATGACCCTAATGTTATTTACTAGGTACCTTTTAACTATTATTAAAGAACTAATTTTGAATTTTGAACTCATATGACTTGTTGTTCACCTAATTATCTCTGAACTTGTGGACATTTTTCGATTAATTATTTATTAAAATTTATTTTGAATAATTTTCGTTTTAAATAATGAATTTGGGAACCGCAAACAGTTTAAAGTTTTGAATATTCATAAATAAACATTTTTGTAATCAAAAATAGGCAGCATCGCGTATGTTTGTGAACCGCTGGGCAGTGTTTTGTCCGCTCTGATAACAGGTATTTATCTTGGAATTTATAAAAAATTAATATTGAATTGAATTCAAACAATCTTTGAATCGAATTCTTCGATTCGCCTTTTCGCCGATAGATTCTTTTGGTCGAAAACGAGCGATGATCCTCGTGAATGTGCCGCTTATAA